ATTGTTTTCCTAAAAACATGCACAAAGAGTAAAGATTTCAAAACCGTGCATAGAATGATGAAAACAAATTCACGAGTGGTTACTTTCAAAGTAAATAGCGCATAGAATATGTCTGTGAGACTAAATTCTTCAAGAAAATTTAGTTCTATATTTGAAACAAACCCTAGAGCAACTTTCATAAATACTTTAACATATACACATACAGGGGAAAATAGCAATACCCCTGCCCCTCCAATTACACTTGTATAATCAAGTATTTCCAAACTCAAAACATTAATAAAAAGAAATACAAGAACACTTACTTTGATGTTTCTATAGGTCTCATTCAGAACCATCTTATTAAATTCAGGATTCTTCAGTGTGTCAAGGAAGTTTGAATATAGGCTGTGAAAGTTTGGCTCAATACTAACTCTCTTCATAACCAGGTATTGTGAAACCCAAGGCATAAATTCTTCCTTCACAGTTTCCTTTAGTTCTTCAACCTAGAAAACCATTATGACATGGGAAGTATACAATTAAAAGATGATAAAATAACAGTTTTGTGTTTTGTTTCTGTGAACAATACTACAGCATGTGGCTCCTTGCAAAATTAGAAGCTAAAGTACATGCTAGGTCTTCCCTGGTGGCTCAGTGGTTAAGAATCCGCTTGCCAATGCAGGGGACATGGGTTCGGAGCCCTGGTCGGGGAAGATCCCACATGCCACGGAGCAACTAAGCCCATGAGCCACAACTACTGAGGCCACATGCCACAACTACTGAAGCCCATGCTCTGTAACAAGAGAGGCCACTGCATTGAGAAGCGTGCACACCACACAAGGAAGAATAGCCCCCGCTCGCCACAACTAGAGAAAGCCTGCGCACAGCAACGAAGACCCAACACAGACAAAAATAAATTAATTAATAAAAATAAAGTACCATGCTACATCTCTCCCAATTTCAGACAGATGCTATCCAAGTACAGTATGTTCAATTCCATCTAAGTATAGAGTCAATCATCTCTTTAACTGGGTGATTAGAACTGAAACATCTACTGTCACTTTAAACTTTAAAATTACAAAATATGTAGTCCCTCAACCCCATCTTACTTACTCTCCATTTGACCAAAAGAGGATATATTACTAATCTACAAACCTGCTATTAACAGACCTGACACCAGAACTATTGTTTTCCTAAATTTATATCTCCAGGAATTATCTGTAAAGTTTGAAACTTCTCTTCCAAAAGGGATGCTGAGTGCTTCAAAATTCTCCCCCAATCAATTATGGTGGGATTTTCAAAGGCAGCACTTGCATTATAAATTACATCTCAAAACCCACTTGTGGGCTTCCCTGGTGGCGAGGTGGTTGAGAGTCCGCCTGCTGATGCAGGGGACGTGGGTTCGTGCCGCGGTCCGGGAAGATCCCACATGCCGTGGAGCGGCTGGGCCCGTGAGCCATGGCCGCTGAGCCTGCGCGTCCAGAGCCTGTGCTCCGCAGTGGGAGAGGCCACAGCAGTGAGAGGCCCGCGTACCGCAAAAAAAAAAACCCCACTTGTTCAGGCTAATCTTGTTGACTAAAACGGACATTTCCAAGTATTGTCTTAGCACATAATCTTGTGCATCATTACTTTTCAGAAGCTCTACCTCACTTATTAGGCGCCTAATGGTTTCTGGGAGGACATGAATTGTGATTAGAAATACAAATGAAATTTCCATCATCATGAAATCATTTTCAAGTTTACTTCAAAAAGGCTATAACTCACTGCAAAACAATGTTATTTGGGACTTCCCTAGAGGTCCAGTGGTTAAGATGCTGCACTTCCACTGCAGGGGGTGTGGGTTCAATACCTGATAGGGGAACTAAGATCCCATACGCCGCAAGGTGCGGCCAAAATAGAAAAAAATAAATTAAAAAAATAAAAAATAATACCAGTGCTATTTAATGTCTACAAAATCCACAACCAGTAGTTGTATATCCATGTTCCCTTCATGTTCATTCATTATCTCTACCTTTAAAAGTATTAAAAGGGTGCAGAATGTCATATATAAATCCCCCAACCCATCAAGGAAAAGAATAGAGAGCATTTGTAGTGATATATAAACTATTATTTCAGACTCACCTTTTGTGTCATATTTGACTGGGAGAGGTTGTTGAAGATAAAAGCAATTTTCTCTTGGATATTTTCTGGGGGCTCTACGATTCTCTCTGTTTGATCTGTGGCCACAAGTAATGTATCTATATTTGTAGTATTAATAGAAGGCTAAAGAAATAAAATACATAAAATAAAACAAACTGAAATCCTTCCTAGACAAATCCCAGGGGGGGAAATGTATCCAGATTTCTTTAGTATACAAAATATACATGGTGTGTATGACTGTGTACTGGAAGTGCTGGAAAGAATATGTATTGAACTATTATTAATAGTGGCTGTGTGTGGGAAATCGGGGTGGGAAGGCGGAGAGACAAAGGGAGAAATGCTTTTTTTTAGTAGGCATGTGTTGTTTATAATAAAATTAAAATACATGTTCACTACTGGATATATTAAAACATATCAAATCCAACAAAGAAAAAAGACAGACCTACTTACTGGCACATCTTTCTTAAAGCTGACTCCAGTTGGCCTGGTGACCGTAACTGTTTTTGCAACAGTGGTGGTTGTTGAGGTGGTTACCATAGTGCTAACCTGACCAGCAAGGGGAGCTTTCGCTGGAACCTGGGCCTGGGCCTGGGCTTGAGCCAGTGCAATACTTCCAGGGGTTGTGATAGAGCCCTGCATTTTCACAGGAGGATCTCTAGATTGCTGTCCATACTCGATATACTATGGGGGTAGGGAGAGAGAAACACATTAAGAGTTCTTAACAGAAACTGAAATTTTTGAATTACACCTCGCCCACTACTGAGAGAATAGAAATTATTTCAGAGCATCCTTTTGGTTCATCTATCTCCCTTACGTCTCACCCCATTCTGGTCCGTATTCCTTTATCTATAATATATAGTGGATACCCTGAACTCCTTAAGGAGTAAAGGTAAAATATTAGTATGTTTTTAAAGTATTTATAAGAGAACTAATCTAACAAAACAAGTTCCAAAAGAGTAGCCACAAATGCCTGCATATAAATTTCCTTAAATCCCGTAATACATATAAAGTTTTAAAATTTATATAGTAAACTGATTTCTTTTTCTTAAATTTTATTTATTTATTTTTGGCTGTGTTGGGTCTTTGTTGCTGCGTGCGGGCTTTCTCTAGTTGCCGCAAGTGGGGGCTACTCTTCCTCGTGGTGTGTGGGCTTCTTGTTGCGGTGTCTTCTCTTGTTGCAGAGCACAGGCTCTAGGCGCACGGGCTTCAGTAGTTGTGGCACGCAGGCTCAGTAGTTGTGGTGCACAGGCTTAGTTGCTCTGCGGCATGTGGGATCTTCCTGGACCAGGGCTCGAACCCATGCCCCCTGCACTGGCAGGCGGATTCTTAACCAATGCGCCACCAGGGAAGCCCAAACTAATTTCTATTGGATGCTGATGAGAAAACCGTGGCCTAAAAAACACTGCAATGTGAGTCCTCTCTCAATAAAGCTATAACCACAAAACACCACCTAGCCAACTGGAGGTAAGCATTATACTGGATGTTCTAGGACAAGTTTTTCTTTCCATTTCACAGACCAATAAAAGTCCTTCTCAAACACAAATCAGAAGACTGACACACCCTTTGTGATACTATTTCCCACAGCTTGTACCTATAATAAAACAAACTATTATCTATATATACAATAACTTTATTCAAAAAAGGGGACAGGGCTTCCCTGCTGGCGCAGTGGTTGAGAGTCTGCCTGCTGGTGCAGGGGACAAGGGTTCGTGCCCCGGTCTGGGAAGATTCCACATGCCATAGAGCGGCTCGGCCCGTGAGCCATGGCTGCTGAGCCTGCGCTCCGCAACGGGAGAGACCACAACAGTGAGAGGCCCGCGTACAGAA